GAACATAAAGTGGACACAGTTTTTCTCAGTTCCACATTTGTTATAGATTTGATAATAGAACATAAAGTGGACACAGTTTTTCTCAGTTCCACATTTGTTAGCGTTTGTTACATATTTGATAATAGAACATAAAGTTGACACAGTTTTTCTCAGTTCCACATTTGTTAGCGTTTGTTATAGATTTGATAATAGAACATAAAGTGGACACAGTTTTTCTCAGTTCCACATTTGTTATAGATTTGATAATAGAACATAAAGTGGACACAGTTTTTCTCAGTTCCACATTTGTTAGCGTTTGTTACATATTTGATAATAGAACATAAAGTTCTCCGCAAGTGAGTCTTTTTACACAGATAAGTTATTTTTTCATACAGACATTCAGCTCTTTGAGATGTAATTTATTCGCACCAACATTCAAACTATCTGCAAGTAATATATTCAAAGATATACTTAGCCTCACTATGCGTGAAACTTTTTTTCGTTTAAGCAAATCTGGCTCTGTACAGATTTAAATTAAACACATGTTTTTAAGATTTCCTTCGTCGTCACAAAACCAAAACCAAAAACATCAGTTATAATATTCTGTTTTTGAATCACTCTGTTTCTTTATTGTGTAATCGTAATATTCGGTTCTTATTAGTAACAAATATTTTTGATTCCAAGAATATTTTAGAAAGTTTTTGTTTTTCACTCCACGATCTGTGCTCAACATAGATGAATTGAATTTTGGCTTTGATTATTAAAACAGCTTAACAGAATTGTCCATACTTGGTTGAAATGCTGACTTTTTTGTCTTAACTCTTAAATTTATTTTATTTAAACCTTTCTTTGCCGGTGAGGTCCACATACTGCATAATAATGAGTAATTTTTTAAAATTTGTTTGTTGTTAAACGCAGAGCTACGCAATACACTATATGTGCTGTGTCCACGGTGTTTAGTTTTTTTTTTAAAAGTAAGAAAAAAATGCAGAAGGAATCAAACAGTAGTTATTTGAATTAATTGCGATATTAATGGTACGTTTGCTCACATTTTCTAGTGTGACTCAATAGGATTCCTAGAACCAATAAAATCAAAAGTAGCTCATGAATAGTTTAGAAAAATGCGTTTGAAAAGTTCGATAATTCTAGTGTTAAACTTCATCTGTACATATATTCTTCGGTGTAATGTTGCAAGTTTATTCTTAGATAAAAGAGCCCTATATAGTGAAATATACATATCTCTAATAATAATAATACATAAGACCAGTTGATGGTCTGATTGTTTACTCTGACACAGATTACGATGTTTCCTATATAATGATAGTTATTGTGCCTTTGCATGCGAAGCTATGTAGACGATACTAATCTCATTCGAACTTTACTGCTTTTTGACTCTAAATGTCTTTAGAATGACAGTTTTGTGACAGAAGACGCTACTTTCCCGCGTTACAGATGAAGTAGTCGACCATGAATTACGTTAGGGATTCCTGATGACTATAATTGTCATAGCCCAGTTACACTAATGATTTGAAAGTTGAGCTTCACAATAATACTGATGTCACGTGACCCGGCATCGTGTGATGTCACAGCGTCTCGTAGACTGTTATCTCGAAGCTCTCCGTTACGCCCGAGTGGTGTTTAGATTCCGCCATCTCTTTTGCAGGCATATCTTAAGTTGTGTTAATTTCACAGTTCGCTATTACACGTGTGCAAAAGTATAACGGTTGCAACAATTAAGTTTGATGTAACGAAAACAACTATATCATAACATCTTGCATATATAAAGTCAGTAAAACGGAAGTAAGTTTAGCCCATTGTTATTAAATGATGATTAATCTGAGAAGTCTATATTCAAACGTTCACTGATCTTTACATTTAATGCAAGGAGCTGATTAAGGACTAATTAATACAGGGTTTGAAAAGTCATAAATTACTAACTAACTAACTTTGAAATAAGTAATTAAAAAGAGCGCCCTCTTTTCGTTACCAGTAATTTGAACTTCAAACTGCAGTTCGAGCTCATAATTAGCTGGACAATAAATGTGTTATTGGGGTTAATGCTAAATATATTTCGTGTATAAATAATTAACAACGCATAGTATATAACACACTGTTTTATTCGAACATCTTATAAATCTTTTATTCTGCTCGTTTTCCAGGAATTACAGGTTTTCCATAGAAGTCTCTCATATTTTAATATAAGTATGAACTGGTGCAGAAGCTCAGACGGTGCATTTGGCCTTTTTCTGCTTCTTTTACTCCTCGTCAATTGTGGTTGGTAAGTTTATCCTTTTCAATTACTATCCCAAAACCTTGTAATTTTTATTTGAACTCACTATAGTTATATGTTTTATTTTCTGCCTTTTACTCAGTCAAAAATTCGTAAGTTTCTATGTATATTTATTCGTTATTTAATAGACTGCATATAAACCTTATACGACGAGTGCGCTGTTAAAACGTACAAGACTGGAGTATAAAGTAATTTTGATAGAAAATTGGTCATTCTGAAAACACGTTAATTGCGTTCTGTTAACATATTTCAATCAAGAAATTGAGAGTCACCTAGTGTTTGTAATTGTAAGCACTTAAAATGTGAATTTAAGTTGAACCAATTGAAAAGGTAGGGAACGTTATATTTTGCTTACCTCATCCTAATGGTAACTACGAAAACATCATCCCTAAGAGTGCTTGAAAATACTCTTGCCATTTGATGGCAAAAATTAAATTACATATAAAAGTGTGCTATTTCAATAATAGTTTAAAGCATGGCTGAGACTCGTCATTCATATAAATATTGTGTAATTATCCCTTCACAGAATAGATGAAGCGATTACTTTAAAAACATATTGTATTTGGTTAAAGTAAGGAAAGTCCCTTTCTGTGGAATAAGCGATTAGTGATGGAATTAAATTTATGCTTTGAAACAATGCACATTTACCACAAGATTGATAATTTCCAGCAACACATAAGGAGTGGAGTTGTGTTCAAAGCGAGACAAAGGGGGTAAAATCTTCCATCGACGAAGCAGCAGAGAGAGAAAGGAATGAAGCAGAATCGCGTGTTTCTCACTCTACTGAGCAACCAACTAAACTTGGCATGACTAATAGCTCAGATTCACCCCCGGGAGCTATCATTACTATTGTTGTCAATAGAGACTGGGGTCCATCGGAGGATAGTGTCACTTACTGAGTCACACGTAGTCAAGAAGCTCAGAAAAAATATAGAAAAGCTATATATATTAGTAATTACTAAAACCCCTCTTGTCGGAATATCCAAATAGAGCTAATAATATTGGGTATAAGATCCGATAGCGACCTTGTTGCCGAACATGATGAAATAATTATTCATATGCATATTAAATAAAAATTTACAGAAGATAAACATTCGTCATATTCAGAAACTTGAAATGAGTTTTTTTTTCCCGCAGTTTCAACGGAATGTTGTAAATAAAGCACGTGTCTTGTTTGTTAATTAAGGTAAAATATACCAGTATGATGTTCATCTCGTGCTCGTTTCTCAACAGATATTTTGACTTCCTCATTGTTCTAGCACGTAGAAATAATGGCCGTCATTCATCTGATAGTATCTACCAAAGTTGACATTTTATCATCAAAATAAATATTTGTTTGTCTAGAGAGTACTTTAGATTTATGTTTTATACAAAACTACATAATGGACTATCTGTGCTCTGCCCACCACGGGTATCGAAACCCGGTTTCTAGCGTTGTAAGTCCGCAGACATGCCGCTGTTCCACTGGAGGGCGTTTTATATAAGTATCAGGTGGTTAGGGCGCTCGACTCCCAAACTATGGGTCGCGGATTCGAATCCCCGTCCAACCAAACATGCTCGTCCTTTCAGGCGTGGCGGCGTTATAATGTGACGGTCAATCCCACTATTCGTTGGTAAAAGAGTACCCTAAAAGTTGGCGGTGGGTGATGATGACTTGCTGCCTTCCTTCTAGTCTTTCATTGTTAAATTAGGGACGGCTAGCGCAGATAGCCCTCGTGTAGCTTTGTGCGAAATTCAAAACAAACAATTATTAACTTTTCGTATTTGCGATTGTATGCACGCTAGAAACACGTGAATAACATAGTTTAGATTCAGTTTGTTTTGTTTATTTTATGACAAAGCCACATTGGGCTGTCTGCTGTGTTCACCGTAAGAATTCGAACCCCGGATTTTAGCGTTGCAAGTCCGTAGACTTACTGCTGTCCCACCGGGGGAGCTTAGTTTGGAGAACTGTAACGTGGTAGTCTAAAACAACGAATGCTAACCGAAAACTAACTGTTCTAAAAATTCATTAAATCCATCCTGCTAACAAATTTAAATGAAGTGATAGGGAGCCACCTAGTGGTTGTAATTGTAAGCATTTAATGTAATAATTAAATGTGAATTTAAGTTGAAAAATTGAAAAGAGTAGGAAATCTTATATTTTGATTGTCTGATTATAATGGCAACTATGAAAACATTCACACATCAAATATTGTTTGCAGAACAATATTTTGTGTTCCATTCTACATCTAGCTGCTGGTTGTTCTAATAGTATTCACGAACAACAAACTCATTCTAAGTTAATCACTGTTTCTTAGAATAATGTTATAAACAAATTTTTTATTCTTTGTCTGATGTTTCAGACTTCAACGAGTTCAGGTAGCTGTTGTATATTTAATGATTTTTGAAAAGCTAGTTATTATACGGATGCTCAAGCTTAAATTTTGTGAAGTTAAGCGAGGATCCTTGATCGAACCAAGTTAGTACACGATCCTCTGGGATCTATGGGAATTGATTATAGACAGCCAACTTTCTCGGCAAGATCAATGACAGGGATTTTAATCCTTTTATCAGCTTGTATCCTCGGAAGCTCTTTCCTCTTTGTAGGGAGGGAAAAACTGCATTTAATTTGGATTTACTTGTCGACAGGATCGGAGCTTTGATCTATCTACTTTGATTCAGAATGCACTAAATGCAGTGAATTCCGAAACACGACGTTTTGTTGGACAGAGAAAGTCGATGACATCCAAATTGACTCGAGGGAATTCACTTTAACCGAGTATCGAATGAACAAGGAAAAAATCTAGTTATTGCTTTTTTCTCCTTTTTTGGCGTGTATTTTTCTTTTGAGGCAGTCGAAACTCCTTAAGTGTTGTTAAATACCAAGAGTATGAGGCATGATTTTTGTTAATTATCAACAGGATCGTATAACTTCTCTTCCCTATTTATTGACACACGTGAACAGAATACGTTAGTAATATTGATATAAGGTTATTTACAATAAAAATAAAACGTTGGCTAAGGTAAGAAAAATTGTGTCTACTTTATGTTCTATTATCAAATATGTAACAAACGTTAACAAATGTGGAACTGAGCAAAACTGTGTCAGCTTGAATGTCTGTATGAATAATTTACATGCCAAAGAGCTGAATGTCTGTATGAAAAAATAACTTATATGTGTAAAAAGACTCACTTGCGGAGAGTTTGAATGTCGGTGTGAATAATTTTACTTATCTGAAGATTCACCTGCAAACAATTTAAACATTTGAACATTTCACTTCTGGACATATTGAAAATATATTTAACACATTTCGCCAGAAAAATTCCCAGTATTCATATTACTGATCATCCAGGATACGCCAACAAGAGCTGTTAAAAACGTTTGTTCGTAAGTTTACAGAAAGCATAGCATCAAACAGCACTGATACATAATTTCCCGGAACACACAAAAGCCAGTAAGTTTTAGGGTAGGTTACAAAAAAAAAGTTAGGTTTATAGAAAAGCTGCCACTTTTATTTAGATAACTCATTACGGCTTAAAGTCGCTTTGTAACAACATGTCTTTCAGTGTTATTTTCACTACAAAGTTCATTATTAACATCATTGTTCGTGTTCCATTATTGTTGTTGATACTGAGACACAACTCTGTTGGATGAACATGTTAAAAATGTTAAAATAGAAAATTGTTTCTAGCAGGAATCTTTATTTTGGCAAACAAAATAAAATATAACTCCCCACTAAATAAATAAGCCCCCCCCTTCAATAATAACAATTTATTAGATCGTTCGTTCGTTTTAGATTGCCCACCACGGGTATCGAAACCCGGTTTCTAGCGTTATAAGCCCGCAGACATGCCGCTGTGCCACTGGGGGGCGCAGCAAGTATAACAAAGTTAATCTATACGGGTAGCAAAGACTCTATTAGGCATTAAAGTCTTCGTATGCCGCATTGTCACTTAATGCAATCATATATTAAGATATAATATTACATGTCACTTTCACATTTAATAGAGGTCACCCTGTGAGACTATACTGAAAATCCAGGGTTCGATCCCACCCGCGGTGGTCACAGCTGATATCCTAATGTGGCGTTTTAGTTTTTTCTGTGTTTTCTACGGTTTAAAACTTAGATGTTTTTAAAAAAATTTATAAGTTTCAAGGTATTCTTTGCATCCGTTTTGCCAAAATTTAGAAAAATATTTTTCAAGTACAAAATAAGAAACTCTAATAAGCTTACAGTGGGAATCCGAGAAAAGCGTTCTTAAAAAATTGGCTTGCTTAAGAGGTTTTTGACGCCAGCATATATACGAATGTAGCGTTCACTACTTATTTTTGTCTCGCCGCCCTAAGCGACACAACTGCTTCTGTACCAGAAGTCTTTCACAATAACTTTCCTGTTCCTTTGTAATCCGCCACTGATTGTAGCCTTGCGTTCTCGCGAAATCGATTACACGAGTCGCTTTCATCTGGACCGGGCAGTTCCTGGTAAGAAGCTTCAGGCAGAAAAATCCGTTTTGGTTAAGACTAGAAGAGACTTATTGACTGGCTTCAGGACCAAGCGTTTTGGAGCTTAAACTTACTTCGTTTGTCAGTAAAATAGAACAATGTTGCAGTATATTTATTTCACATTGGTATCAGGTGCAATAAAGATTATTCAGGAAACTTCGTATTGAATGAATGTTCTTTGGTTTTAGTTTCCGAGTATAAAATATAAAGGAAATAGCAGAAGAGGGCAATCTTAGTTAGTTGGTTTCTTTTTTTTTTCTCGATTTATTTATCAAACGATTACTATGTTGAAATTCACTCGACACTTAACAATTTATCAGTAATGAAAATTTAAGTTTGAAATTTTGAATTATTTAAAAACTTTTGAAATAAATATAACCTTACCACTATTAAATTTCTAGAGGTTTTATTAAGGTAAATTATTTTCATATCCTGAGTTGTAAAGGAAATATATGGTCGTAACCTGTTGTTTTCTTGTTTTAGTTTTGCGTTTAAACAAATTGTTTATTTTTTAAATGATTTCAATTATCACCTTCAAAATAAAGCAGCCAATTGTCAGCTTCAAAATAAAGCAGCCACTTATCTGTTTCAAATTAACGCAGCCAATTAACAACTTAAAAATAAAGCAGCCACTTGTCAGTTTCAAATTAACGCAGCCAATTAACAACTTAAAAAGAAAGCAGCCACTTATCAGTTTCAAATTAACGCAGCCAATTATCAACTTTAAAGAAAGCAGTCACTTATCAGCTTCACAGTAAAGTAGCCAATGATCAAATTAAAAAAAAAGCAACCACTAATCACCTTCAAGATAAAGCAGTCAATTATCAGCTTCAAAGTAAAGCAGCCAATTAACAAATTAAAAACAAAGCAGCAACTTATCAGCTTCAAAGTAAAGCAACCGATTAACAACTTCTTAACAAAGCAGCCTGTAATAACATCTTTCAGGAAACAATAAAAACACAACATACATTACAGGAGAAAAATAAATGATCAATATTTACTTTCTCGAATTAATACAATATTATGTTCGTACAGTATATAATACAGTATAAACAGGATGATGAAGAGAAATAATTTTCGCGAGCTGCTGTATCATAGCTGGGGAGATTTTATTTCCTCAGTGTCAGTAAGAACAGAGTTCCTTTCTGTGTCTAGTTAGTCTACATAAGATAAGAACGCAGGAAATGGGGTTTCTCTTGCCTGAATTCTATTTCAACTAAAGCATCCTAGGTCTCAGTAAGTGTCGTCAGTTCGTTGAGGTAATATATGGGAACTTAGATTGGTATTTTTATCAAGTAGTACTTACTTTTTTTTTCCCTGTTCGTGTTATGCTTGTATTTACGCCCCTTACCGTTAGCAACTCATGTTCTCAACACCCTTTATGGGAATATGCTTTGGTTCACGTATTCCTTTGATTATTATGCACTCCAGTTTCTGCGGCCGGAATCTCAAAATAATAGCTTGCAAAATAATAATTAAGCTGATCATTCACACGTAGCTTAAACGAGACATAAATCGTGCTGGACAAGTACAAAAAAAAAAGACTGTTCTTATTTATATTTTCTCGGATGTATAGGGAAATTGTTCATGTTAAACCATTATACTTTTTCTATTATATATATAACGTATAGCTAGAGATTAATAATATCTGATATATAGTATTTGGTATAGTTTGTTTCATAAATTCGGAGACACGTTTGAAACAAGATTATCAACCGATATCTGCTGTAATGTAGTAGAAGCTGTTTCTAACAGAATGTTTACACATTTATACCACAGTTTCTGTGGCTAAACTAATGTATAAAGACGCTGACACTGTCGTAGAATAAACTACGATCCCTCACAGTGTCGATGGTAATTGTGGGCTCTTGCAGCAAGTATTGTTTGTAATTATGCACAAAGCTACACAAAGGGCTATCTGTGCTCCTACAACTTACTGAATTGTAGTAGTTTTATATTCAGAAGTATAAGAATTATACGCAGTTCAGTAAGTTGTAGTAGTTTTATATCAGAAGTATAAGAATTATACGCAGTTCAGTAAGTTGTAGTAGTTTTATATTCAGAAGTATAAGAATTATACGCAGTTCAGTAAGTTAATTTTATATCAGAAGTATAAGGTAGAATTATACGCAGTTCAGTAAGTTTTTATATTCAGAAGTATAAGAAGTAGTAGTTATACGCAGTTCAGTAAGTTTTCTTACACTTCTGTTATAAAACTACTACAACTTACTGAACTACGTATAATTCTTACATTTCTGTTATAAAACTACTACAACTTACTGAACTACGTATAATTCTTACATTTCTGTTATAAAACTATTAATTCCTAAGTGTAAATTTGCTGAACTGTAGCCAACGAGAAAGTTCGTAAATAAATTGTAGAAACCAGTTTACAATTTTAACTTTTTTCTGTTACTGATATTTTTATATAATTTCTATTTTTTGTTTCTTTAGCTGTTGGTTATTTAAAATAACAAATTCCTGTTTTATAAGAATTTACTCTATACGTAGCTATAGATAATTTCGTGATAATATTTTCTAGAAGTCACGTAATATGATATTACAGTTGTATATGTGTAATACATTTCCCTCTCAGACGCCTACTGTGCAAATCTGTCTGGAATATTCACGAAAAACTTCATTAAATTTCACGTGGCTTTTTTTTCTTTCAATCACGACATGATAGTTTTTCCCTGTATCTATTTTTAGCCTTTACCTTATGTTAAACGTGTGATCTCTACTTAACATGCAATAACAAGTGTCAGGTTTAACGTAAAAGCCAACGTGCTAGAAATACCAGCTGTTGAACGTATTATACTCTGATGTCGTTGGAAGTAGACAAAAAATTTAATTTCTTTTTGATTAAAATAAAATGGTCTACCTTTCGAAAGCGCTTGGGTTATATATAGATAGTGTTTAAATTGTGCATGTGCATTTTAATTTACAAAGACATTTTTTATATTCTTATGCCTGATAATATAAAACGGAATCGATGTATAATCAGACCAATTTTTTACATAACTCTACTGCACTCAGTTACCATGTTTGCAATCTCCAATTTTTCTTTCTCAAGTCAATAGATGAGGAGGAATGAGGAAGATAAAAGATGAAGAGTAACAGTTCAAGAAGTAAGTCAAGACGAAAACTGTTACATAGTTGACGATTGAAGAGTAACAGTTGAAGAAGTTAGTCAAGACGAAAACTGTTACATAGTTGGTGATTGAAGAGTAACAGTTCAAGAAGTAAGTCAGGAAAACTGTTACATTGTTGACGGTTGAAGAGTAACAGTTCAAGAAGTAAGTCAGGAAAAC